TATTTTTATGTAAAACTATTTCTTAATCTTGTGTTTCTGTTCATTTTTCTCTTCCTCAAATGGCAAAAGACATAGGAATTTAAAAAGCATATATCCTATGAATGTCAAGTCATTTTGGGAATATTATAAAAAGCAATTTGCTAAAACTTTACAAAAAGATACCTCTGTATGAGTGCAATAATTAATTACTAGGCAGGTTCTTAGAATTTTGAATTATTTTTTGATAATTTTGTATGCATTAGTTCTCTATTTGACAATACTTAACTTTTTTAAATGTTTTAAAATATATGGAGGTTGCTATATGTACTTGAAAGTAATAAAATTACACTTCCATAAACTAGTCTATTATTCAAAGTTTTGACCAATTCCTATTAGTCTTTTCATTATTTTTCAATGTTTTTATTGTACTTTTTCTATATTAATATTTGAAGAAATGTCTTGCATTTCCTTTATGGTTAGAAAGCTTTTGCTAAATTCCTTTTAAAAAATGTAGACATTTCTAAAGATGTTTTTCTATTGAGATGTGGTAACATACAATGGTAAATGAATAGATGGTAAGTCTTCAGTTTGGAGATATTTGATACCATGTAACTGCCACAAAATATATAACAGTTTAATTACTCCAGAAAATTTCCCACACCCTTTTCAGTGAACTCATACCACCTGATGTCACCTGGAAACCAGCTTTTGATTTTTCTCACTGTGGATTAATTTAGTCTGAGTTTGAATTTCCTATCAACATAATCATATGGAATATGCTTTTTTGTTCTTTCTTCTTTTGCTCGAAATAATGTTTTAGATATTGATCTATATATATTACTGAGTCTATCATAGTTGTTGGGTTTTTGTGGATTTTTTGTTGTTGTTGAATAGAATTCTTTTTGTGGACATGCTATAATTTGCTTCTCCATTCTCCTATTGATAGACCTTTGCTTCCAGTTTTTGGCTGTTATGTTTTGTTGGTGCATCTTTTAATAAGACTTTTTGTGGACATACATTTTTATGTTTTCTCTCAGAAAAGTATCTAAAGTGAAATTGACTGGCCACAGAATAGATGTATGTATAACTTTATAAGAAATTGCTAAATAGTTAACCTGCCAACAACAAATGAGAGTTCAGTTAATCCCTTTCCTCACTAACATTTGGTATTACCCATTTTTTTTATTTTACCCATTTTAATATGAACAGAAACAAACTGTTTCCTGACAACTCTTGAAAAAGTTTGAGCGCTGTTTCCTAAGTGTCTGTTTTTGGAAGATTTTTGGAAAAAATTTTTTGGATATATTTTTTAACATGAATTTATAAGATTTGGTTTTGCATAATCTGGATACAAGATCTTTGTTAGGTAAGTATTTAGTCATTTCCTCCCCTCATCTCCAATCCATGGGAGAGATGAACAGAAAGATTTGAAGTTTGATGAAATTCAATTTATTAATTTTGCGTCAAATAGTTTTTGCTTTTTTTTTTTTTTTTTTTCTGTCAAAGCAACTTATGCCCACTCCAAAGACCAGAAATAATTTTTGTATTTCCTTCTAGAAACTTTATGGTTCTGGGGCCTCTGTGGTGGCCTCGGGGTTAAGTCTCAGCACTATCACCACTGCAGCCTCAGTTCCATCCCAGACAGGTTGCTAACCCACATGTGGAGAGGTGAACAGACCTCTATCTCGTGTGCTGTTCCCCTTAGCAGTGTATGTCAGTAAATTCGCCTGTTCCGCTCCCCGCTCTGTCTCTGATGAATCCTCTCACCACCCCGCCCCCAGCTCTGGCCTTCACCTCAGTTCTACACAAAAATAAATTTTAAAAAAGTCTTTAAAAAAAACTTTATGGTTCTGTGTTTTGTATTTGTTTACGATTCATGCTGATTTTTGTGTATTAAATGTGATAGGGATTGAGGTTAATTTTTTACCATATCAACATTGGGTTGTTCCAACACCATTTGTTATAGACTATCCATTTACTTTTGAATTGTCCTGGCACGTTTGTTAAAGATGAACTGATTGTGTCTTTAGGGTCTATTTCTAGGCTCTTTATTCCTTTCCAGTGATCTGATTGTTTTTATTTATGCCAGTACTATAATCACTGTAACTTTATAACTCTTAAAGTCAGGTAATTGATTTCTCTTACTTTTTCCTCTTCAAGATTCTTAGCCTGTTTTAGATCTTTTGTATTTCCATGTAAATATGATAATCATTCTGTCTACTAAATATAAATATCCTGTCTGCTTCTTCAAAGTAGTCCTCTGGAACTGTGATGAGAATTGCATTATATTTATCTATCAGTTTAAGGAAAATGGACATGTTCTTCCTACCCATGAACTTATTTTTTTTCTATTTAGGTCTTCTTTGATTTCTTTCAGTGGCTTTCGTGAATTTTCAGTGTAGAAGTATTTTACATCATTCATTTGGTGTATTCCAGAATATTTCCTGGTATTTTTTCTTGATCACATTGTTAATAGTTAGAATTTCATTTGCTGCAAAATTTACTGATTTTGCATTCTTTGTATTCATGTATTTAAATTCTTCCATTTTCAACAAAAGGAATTTCAATTTAGTGCTGGAAGAAAACGGATGTTAGTTAAAATAAATGAACTTGGCCACACTGATGTTAGTACATATCTATTCTGTTCCTTAGTGTTTTAGTATTTTCTTTTTGATTAGAGAATGTTTCTGCAGAATTCCCTGTTGTGTTTATGATTTAGCTGCCATTTTTCTAAAATAAGGAATACATACAAGTTTTTGGTGTGTGTGGCTGCTTCTGGCTTCTCAGTTATATAGTAAGACCCTATATATAGAATGCTTTAGATTTTACATATCTTTCCTTGGATCAGTGAATGACTAAGAACAGCTTTGGGCTGTCAAGTAACTGTATGTCATTGTCGTTTAAAACAAACAAAACAGTGTAATCGGTGCAAGTGCAATAGTGTTTAGTATTGTTTAGAAATACATTGGAGGCAAAGTTCAATTGATAACAACTGTGTATATGTTATTGATGCGTTAAATTATTTTTAAAAAAGAAAATTCTATTATCACCCACAAGAAAAAAGTAGGAAGGTTGAACTAGTGAAGATTAAAGAAAAAAAGGCAAAGAATAAAATAAGCCCTAACAACATAATGACAATGACTGTAGTCATATAGAATGATAATGAATGCTTGAGCCTCCTTCTGAGGTGTCAGATACAGAAATATTAAGGGGGAAAAAATTAACACTCACTTTAGAATTGGAAAATCTCAGAACCTCGTATTAGGGACTTGGTTTCTCATGGGCAGTAAGAATCTCATTGCAGATATTAAAGTTAAGAATGTGCATGATAATAACACTGTTTTACTAATAGACCTGTAATTGAAACTTTATATTAGTTTAAATATTTAAGTGTTGATAGAGTCAGCATAGAATGAGTTAGAATTTGCCAAAAGGAAAAATGGAAGCCTCTTTGTTTCCCTGTAATCTTTCTCCCAGCATGCAAGATGATGCAAGATGTTTATCTGTTCTGATGCAACCAAAATATCACAATGGCTTTTGCTCTGCTGGTGAGGATCATCAGTGTGGGGAATTTCAGCATGAAAATGGATCCACTTTCAAAGCCAAAATAATCTACTTTATGATTACAAACTGGATACTTTCTGAATTCTGGATTGAAAATTGAAGTCATTTGACTTCGTGTTATTTGTTACAATTTACTGGTTAACTTTGGCCTTAGCGACTTAAATAATCACAACATGTACTTTTAAATTTTTGTGCTATTTCAGTGTGTATAAAACAGTTAATGAAAGAATGTATACAGTTATACCATTAATGGATGAATATGTGAACTAACACTCATGTCTTAAAATATGGATATGGCAATTTGCCTGTTATTAAAACTGGAAAGGGGAGTATTAGAAATAAAGGGGGGGAAACTATTCTAGTTCAAAAGAAATTCCTGAAGTTTTAAAATTATGTTCTGCAATGTATTTGATAAAGTGTTCAGAGTAAAATTATTAGTTGAAAATTATAAATGAATACATTCAAGTGGTTCCTTATTTCTTCAGAGTGTAAGGATTACATACCTGAATATCTATTGGTGTTACTCCCAGCTTACTTAAGAAATGTCTGTAAATTTAGATAAACTTTCCTTACTTGTTTGTTTAGAGACTGCTGAATAGTAAATGAAATAGAGATTCTTTCAGAAGTATGTATAGATAAAAAGAAATGAGAGAACATAGAAAGAAAGGAAGGTATACTATAAGTAAAGTTCCCAGTAAGTCACATTTATATTAGCATTTGAAAATTGATGAATTGGCATAAGATTTTCTGATTTTGATGAAATGTTATTAAAGAAAAAATTGACATTGAAAATAATCTTAACATTTTCTTAGAGGATACAGGTAAGATTCACCAATGAATTAGTTTATATTTGAATGTTTTGTTTTTTAAAGTTCTTTCTTATAAATCTGCCCTAGAATAGCCAGTTTTCAGTAAACATTTATATTTGGGGATTTATAATTTAAGAAATCTTCAGGTTGAGTTAGAAGATGAAAGATGTTTTGTTTTAAATGATGATTGTGCAATCTAATTTCCAAAGAAAAACCTAGGAGTCTATTTGTAATGATATCTAAAGCCAAGCACATTATATTAGGAAAGCTTCAGCCTCTGAATAGTTTGTGCTTTTTCTTTTTTGTCATGTCCTGCTCCTCTGCACGTACCTATTTCTGTTTGTGTTAGTCATCCTCTCTAGGTAAATTGTCCATGAGACCAGTGATTCCATTAGCAAATTATCCAGAAAATGCTGTCTTTGCACGTTGTGACAGATCATGTCACTGGTGGATTTATAGCTACTCCAGTGGTCTAATTAACCTGGCAGTTGTCTCCTGTGCCCAACACTGTTGTCTGGTTGCCTTGGCATCTTAGTTTTTGTCTCCTCATTACCTTCTCTTAACTAAAGCTCAGAGTACACTTTTTTAAATTTACCTACCGCCACCCAATCCTCTCTATTCACTGCCCCCCTTATTTTTGATTGGCAGTATCATCCAGATAAACAAAGTGCAGATGTGTCAGCACAAACAGTGGAGGAATGTATACAGAAGTTCATCGAAATTGATCAAGCATGGAAAATTCTAGGGAATGAAGAGACAAAAAAAGAGTATGACCTGCAGCGCCTCGGTAGGTACTTGTGGTGAGGAGCCACAGCACATTGGCACCTCTGAATCACAATCTGCAGCCATTCCTGGGGAGCATTTTCCAGCATTTGCACCAAGTTATTATTGTCTTCTGTACTCCTCCCCTCCATCATTGTTTTTAATTATGCCCTATTCTTAGTAGTGATTATTGTGTATCCATTGAGAAGTTAACAAAACTACTAGGAGCTGTCTTCTTGTGAAGCTGTGAAAGCTACTTTTTATAACTAATGAAAAATGTTTAATTATACATTCCTAATTGTTGTTTTATATATTTAAAAACTTTTTTATTAAGTTTAATTATGTACTGATTAAAATTTTAACTGTAGCACTTTTAAGACTAAATACTGTATAAATGACATTCTAAAGGAAGATACTATATAGGATAACATCATAACATCTTTTCTGTCTCTGATCGTATTTTAGGCTGGGTTTCATGATTACCACCTGGGTAAACTATTCCTTAAGAGATTACTATAAATGATATTTTAGGACTACACATCTCCTAGGAAGTTTTAAAAGTCATTTCTTGTATGCATTTCAGAAAATTGCTTCTTAAAACAGTGACAAGCTCTTGTGGAAAAGAAAGAGAGAAATGTAGGTCAGGTTTGTCACACATGGACTGCAGTTACATGAAGTGATAGTCTGTCTTTCAGCACTGGCGGAGGGATAGGAGTCCCTCAGCCTTTTATTCAATATGCACCCTACATGTTAATGGGGAGAGTCAATAATCAGTTATAGCCTGTGGGGAAAACACTCAATTGCACTCTGCAATAGCTGTCCAGGTTCAGCATTGACTCGCATGTGTTGATAAAAGCTTGCTGTCTCTATAGTTGATTATTGACTCCTTCCATGCCCTGCTCTGGCCTATCATCAAACCACACAAAATGATTTCAAGGTTCCTACTACTAAAGTTATGAGAATTTGATTTGAGAAATAAGACTTTATTGGTAAAGCACATTAGAGGATAGAGCCAATGGTACATATAGAAAGAATATCCATGTTTATTTTCAGAGGAAGTTGTACTGGTAATATTATTCCTTTTTTTTTTTTTTTAATAGAGGCATGTTTTATTTATTTATTTGTTTATTTGGGTTTTTTTTTTTTGTTTATACATCACTGGGTACAGTCAGAAGCGCGGGAGGGTGAGAGAATTCACCAGAGCCAGAGCGGGGAGCAGAGCAGGCAGAAGGACCGAAGTACACTGCTGAGGGGAGCAGCGGGCGACAGGAGAGGTCTGTGCGCCATGTGGGACCCTCCACCTGTGGCCGGGGAGCAGCCGGGGCTTGAACCGGCGCCTCAGAGGCTGCGGGCAGCTTCACAACCCCGCGCTCAACCGCTGCGCCACCGGGGAGGCCCCTGGTAATATTATTCCTTAATAAGCATTGTGCTGTGATACCTAGACTTCGTAAATTATTTGTTTAAATACTGGAGCCCTTGTGATTTTTGTTTTGGTTTGGTTTGTTTTATGCCTTTTTTTTTTTAAGATTCACTTATTTATGCATACAAGAGCTGGGGTACAGGCCATAGGTGCGGGGGCCGGGGTGGGGGTGAGAGGATTCACCAGAGACAGAGTAGGGAACAGAACAGGCAAACTGACTGAAATACACTACTAAGAGGAGCAGCGAGCGAGTCAGGAGAGGTCTGCTGTGCCATGTGGGCAGCTCCCTGGCAGGGATCAAACTCATGCTGCAGTGGCTGAGGACAGCTTCATAGGTTGCGTCCAACTCCTGTGCCACCAGGAGGAGGCCCTGAAGCACTTGTTTTTAATGGTAATTTCTTTTGTGCTTTGAGCCCCTTGGTTTTAAGGAAGTAGCTATGTACTCCACTATATCACTGGGACTCTTGTATGTAGATCATTGATCAGTTCACAGCCAAGTTTAGACAAAACAAGTACAGTAAAAGTTGGACCTCATTCATGATTCAGATATATAGGCAGATCTTCTGTTTAGAGTTTATATAATGTCAGTTTACTTTGCAAATTTTTCAGGCAGGTAAATACTGAATTGAGCTGCATACTAAATGGACATTAGAAATAGAACTTTTCATGGTATTTCGGACCTCAGTCTACAAGCTAAATGTTTCCCTTTTTTTTGGCTAGAGAATCCAAAAGTGAGAATGTTTTCAGTTTCAAATTGAGATTGTTTACCGTTTAGATGATAAATAGAGAAGTCCGTTACCCAAATTAAACTGGCCATTTTAGATTTCTTTTAAAAATTTCATAAAAGCTTAGTTTTGTGTTGTCACTTTTTTTGAATCAACATTTCAATAAATGACTCCTCGAAAGAAGGAAATGAACTTGAACTTCTAACCTGAGGATTTGGATTTGATAGAAGGAAAACCTTTGAGAGTGATAATTTGTTAAAGAGCAGGATAAGTTACTAAGAGAGAGAGAATCTGTTATAACCAGGTCAAAGCACTTTTTTCCCCGGGGCACCCCCTGGGGTCATAGAAATAGCTTTGTTATACAGAACCCTTTTGCATGTGGTGATAGTTCATTATAGAACTTTCTTTTCAATAGATTGTACTTTAAATAAGTTTGTTTCTTGTCCTCCATTAACTTGCAGTATAAAATAAATTTGGGCTCTGTAATACAGAAGGAGGCAGGAGATGTTTTATTGGCTGATGGATGTTGAATGCCTTCTTGTATTTCACAACTCAGAGTTGATCTGTTGTAATGAAAACCACATCGATATTGTGCACAACCATTTATTTCTTTAAAAGATCATTTAAAGGAGCCCTTGACATCCATATTTCTTTGCTTCACAAAAGAATTTATCAAATGTATTCTTTTTAAATCAAGGAAAAGCCTGGGGCAGATAGCTAAAGTATATTATATGGGTTTTTTTTCTTCCCTACTCCCATATGTACTTAGTTGACATTTTAGGGCAATGTTGACCAGGCTGAAGAAAAGCAAATCTAAAAAATGAGTAATATTCAGTTCCCAGATATACATTTTGAAAGCAATGTCAGCTAGTGAATTTAATCAATTAGTTCCAGTTGGCATATTTACTGTATTGTTTCTAAGGATGTTTTCAAAGACTGCTTCCTATGTTCCCTTGAAAAGCATGTAGTTACTCAAGATTAGGCTTTGGATTTCAGACAACCAGAGGAGCACTTTGGAAAAATCTTTCCAGGATTTACAAAATGTTTACATTTATAATATCTTTTAAATAGATTTTGGTGCCTAAATTTTCTTGTGGAGAATTTTCTCGTAGATTAAACACATTATAAAACAGAAAGCATCTCATGGGAAAATAGGAAGGCTCTTGCTGCAATAACTTGGTAATGTCTCACACAGATACCTGATGTGCCAGTGGCTTTAGAGACTGTTATAGTATTGAAATAGGTTACTTCTCTATGACCTAAAGAGGAATAAATTGTCTTCAAATGAAATCAGTCAAATTAATGCTGTTAAAAAAATAAGTGGATTGTGTTTGAAATCCTTGCTGATATATTATTTTATACTAAGATGTATGTTGGCTCTCTATTAATGAATTATTTTGGTAATGTGAATTCTTCATTCTACTCAATTGGCCAAATACTTAAATACTCAAAACAGACTGGCTCAGAATTTTGAGACATTGGAAAGTTATTTTTCACTTAAAGTTAATCAGCTACTCTCCCTTAGGTAGGAATAAAGGATCATTTCTGGTATTGATTAGGATAAATTTCTGAGAATAGTAGGTAAGCAAAAATTTGGACCAACTGAGGAACACAGCTTAAGATGCATGTATCGTATAAATGATGCATGTATCGTATAAGATGCATGTATCGTATAAACATGTTACTTCTTAAACTCAAAATAAGAATCTTTCTTGAAAAGCAATTTGATCTTAAAGATTGATTAACTCCCTACGAAAGGAAATAATACTTTTAAATGCAGATAATGTAAATTTGGGTTAATTGATAGGAATGACTTAAGCCATTAAGCCAATAGATATTTATATTAAACTGTGTGCTAAAACTGACCCTTACAAAGTATTTGTTTTGATCACAATAGGGTTTCCACTTAGGATCGTATGGGTATTTCCATTTCATTTTAGGAATTTGAAAATTGGCTATAAAAATGCGCTTCAGGTAAAACTTGCAGATAAGCATCAGGGGGCATTTTTTTTGGTGACTGTTTCTGAGAAAAGTAAGTATGTGAAATGATACAGAAAATCCACTTAGACAGTTAGGGACTGGCATTTTCTTCAGAGGAAGAAGCGAGTATGATAAAAATTTCTGTGAAGATTCTGCTCCATCTTATTTCCACACGAAGGTGACAGTTAACATTATTTGTTACTCTTATTATTTGAATGCAAGTAACTGTTTTTTGCAATGAAAATATATTAAGACAATTTCTCAATGATTTGGAATAAAAATTTGGTTATTTTCAAATATTATAGAAAACTATGAGTAGAATTATAGATATAATTCTGGTATACTTGGACATATTGGAAGTTTTAACTTAAATAGAGATTTAGGATTTTAGAAAGTTTTTATCACCACCTATAACCTCTCTCCTAGTTTCTACTCGACCCAATTGAAATCTGTGTGTCCAACACTAAACTGGGCCATTTCTCATTGCTTTATCTTCCTCAGACTTGAAATCTTAGTTTCATATGATACTCTGATTGCTTCTACTTTGTTAAATTACAACCAATGAATTTGAAATGAGTGTTGACATTTTTCAATGTTTTACTTTTTAATTTTTTTTATTTATGTGATCTTTTTATTCTCACAGCTACCACACTCCATGCCCAGATTATAACACATTCAGGTTATTTCCATGCTGCTAGCCTTCTCCCACATTGTTTACATTGTGATTGGCTTAGCTTTTTTTATTTTGACTTCCTCTTTTAAAAACTTTTATAACCACCAACCCTCAACAAAACATTTACCCAGTCACTGGAATCTAAATGGAGCAGAAGCTCTTACCTTTTCCAACCTCATGTCCAATTTCAGAACTAATGTGACTCTTCTCCCCTGGTCCATTTAGGG